TATATATATATATATTTCAATAAAATTCTTTATATAATAAAAATCTATAACAAATAAAATGTAATCAAAACAAATAAAATATACTCTTCAATAAGAATTAAAAATATAAGAGTATATATTTATAAAATAAATAAACTTAACATATTATAAATATTAAAAAAAAAATAAGAAAAATAAGAATAAATAAATTATTTTAATATTTTCATTTCATTCTGATTTTATTATGATGCCGTTTTTTCTTTACCTTAATATCTAAAATGGGACCTTTATGTACTGTATATTGTGTTCTCGGTAGTTCTTTATCTTCTGTCATATTTATCACAGTCGGTGTCGATTCACAATTATTGTATTGTTGATTCTTGATAACTTTCATTTTTTCTTCCACAATTTCAATATCTGGCTTATCGCAATTTTGTATATTATTCGTAATATTTGGCTCTTTTATTAAAATTGGCATAATTTCGGTATCATTATTATGTTCTTCTTTATCATTTACAAGTGAATTTTTTACAGATTTTGATATTTTTTTGATTTTAATGAGATTTAATTGATCAGTAATGGGTCCTGTTGTATCATCAAATGTTTTAATTAACTTTGAAGTTTGAGTTCGTGAAAATTCAGTCAATGATGCTTGTTTTGTACATATAGTCAATATGTCTTTAGTTGATGTTGATTGTACAGAATCTAGAAAATCTATTTCTGAAGAATTAGAATACATGTTCGTATTAATTTTGGATATTCCATACTTTTGTAATAAATTTAAACTTATAGTTGGATTCAAAATCATATGTTTACAATCTACTACTCGTACTATACAATTCATCATTTCGGACATTGTATGTTTTTTGTATTTTTTAATTGCTTTTAATGATTCATTATTTAAATTCGATTCATGTGATAAAATTTTAATTTCCGGAGACATAGGCGTACATCGCTTTCTATTTATTATTGGTTTTTGAATACTACGGTTTTTTTTAGAATTTGTAAATATAGTTTCAATTTCTTCACAAGGCGATAATGATATAGATAATGTATTCGGAGATATCTTGGAATTCTTTTCCTCTTGTTTAGCATTTAAGTCAATGTCAACTTCTAGTTTTATACGTTTTGCAGATTCTTCAGCATATCTTGAGCTTCGTCGAAGAGGAGTTTTGTTGTTTCTTCTTTTACGTTTATACAACTTTTTATCAAATATATCACTTTTTGATACTTCTATATTCTCAATAAAAGAAGATTGATTATTATTTTCTTCACTTGAACATTTATTATGCTGTTCTTTATGTTCCTTGAGACTTATAAAATGTTCATCCTGATATATATTATTAAATTCTTTAATAGTATTATTATCTTTATCATCCTGTAATTTTTCTTCATTTACATTTTGTACTTTTGAATTTATTTTTTCTTTTTCATTTATAATTATAATGTTTTTATCATTATTAGGTTCAATTAAAGTATCGTAATTTTTTTCAACATCTTCTGATGTTATTATCAATTGATTATTAATAAATTCTTGTGTTGTAATATTCTTTTCAGTATTAACAAGTTTCTTTTGAAAATAAAATTCCATGTTTGTTTTATCAGTTTTTTTTTCAACTTTTTCTATATCGGAATTTTCCGAAGAATTCGAAATATTTTGATTATTATGTATATTATTTAAATTTGATTCTGTAAGACATGAATTTGAACCTTCTAATGAATTCATTTGGTTAATTTCTATATTATTATTTTTCATAGTTTGCTGTTCAGAAGATTTTGTTAAATTTTCTTTTATATTCATATATGTATCACATATAGATATTTCGGATAAATCATTTGCAATTTTTGATGATACATTGATTTCCAAATTTTTTTGAAAATGTTTATTATTAAAAAATTCTTGTGATTTATTAGATAATATTTGTAAATTATTTTGTTTAGAATTGTTATTTCTTTCATTTTTATTTTCATGATTCATTAATGATTCAGTATAAAATTCCGCAATATCTCTTGATTTTAAATCTATTATTTGTTTCTCTTTATTTTCATTAGATTCAGTGTTTTTTTCTGAATTTAATACATGAGATATAACGTCTTCAACTGATTGTTTTTCAAATGATTCAAGATTTTCTGTTTCGTTTTTTGTCACATTTATTACTTCAACTACGTTTTTCCACAATTGTGAATTATGATTTGTTTGTTGTTTCATTTGTTGCTCTAAAGAATCCAATAATTTTTTTTTCTGGTGCAATTTTTTTATATATAATATAGAAAGTGGTAGCTCTTCCTCATCAGGAGTTAAAATATTTACAGATTGCAATAAATTTTGCAATTTTTTCTTTTTCTTTTTTCGTGCTTCGGCTTTTATTCTTCGTGTTTTCGCCATTTCTTTCTTATATGTTTCTTCTAAAAGAGCAAGACCTGTGGTTGGTTTCTTTTGATCATCTACACTTGAATTTTGAAGAAGAGAATCCCAAGTGCTATCATCCGAATATATTGATGATCTTTCCGGTGTTCTATTCTCTGATGATTTTTCTATATTCTTTTCATCATTATTTTTATTATCTATATTGATACTTTTTTTGTTTAAAATTTCAATATTTCTTTCATTATCTTTTATTAAATAATTTCTTTCATTAAATGTTTGTATTTTTGTCTGAATATTTTTTTCAATTGATATTTGAGATTCAGTAGATTCAATAATTTTGTCAATTTCTTGATATTTTAACATCTCTATTTTATCCTTATTAGATAACTCAATTTGCTGTGTACATATTTTGTTCATATCTTCTTGAGATTTGATTTCATTCACTGATATCTGATCAGAGTCTTGCTCTATCATTCCTTGTTTTATATTGATTTTTTGAGATGTTATATCATTAACTTTTATTTTTTCTGTGATTGTATTTTGTATATCCTTATTAGATATATTACTGTTTAGTTTATTTTCCAACTTTTTAATTAATCTAGATTTTTTTCTTTTTCTTTTTGTAGAGCTTAATGATTTAATATCTCCAATATGACATGTAATTTCATCATCGGAATTATAAGTAAAAGTACAATTTTCTTTTTTTTCTGTATAATGATCATGTTTATGTAATATCTTAAATTTATTTGATTGCATAGGATTATTTGGAATGTCTTTTATAGATAAATTTTCTTTATTTGTTTTGGCACATTGATTTGTTACTGGATTAGTTTCAATATTCTGAATTAATTGTGACATTAACATAGATGGTGTTTGAGGTCTAATCACTGGTATTCCAACTTCTTTATTTTCGTATGTTACATTATTTTGTTGTAAATTGTCGTCATTTGGTAAAGTACCACTTGTCAACATCTTATAGAGAGTCATTTTCTCTGTCATTAATTTGTGAATTTCAACATCAATTTCAATCATCCTAGCCATGATAGCTGCTTTTGTGTTTGGATATGTAATGTTTTTTATAGTATCTGATTTTATAACTTTTTTTATTACTTTTTTAGAAATGTTATGCTTTTGTTTTTTATATTTACATCGATTTAAACGCATTCTCGATTTATTTTTTATGTTATTTAACATTATATTTCTTTTTTTTTGAATTAATTTTTTTGAAATTGTTTTATTTGAATTTTTTGATGCCTCATATTCTATAGCAGAATCAATTGATGCATTTTTATTATTGGACATCTTTATTTCAAAAGGAACTAATATTTGTTGATCTATAGAATTATCTAATTCTTCTTGGGTTTCCAGTACTAAAAATTCTGTATTTTTTTCAGGTATTGTTTCAGATATTGATGCAAGTGAAAAATTTTCTGAAAGTGTATTTGTATCTTCTGTTAAATTAATATTTAACTTTTCTGAAGTTTTATTTTCAGAAGATGTGATTGCTGCACTTAAAGATTCAAGATTATGTTGTGAATTATTCTCTGATATAATAAAATTATGATTTTCTTTTTCAATTCTCATTTCTATTACAGATGATTCAGGAATTTCTTCAGCTTTTTGAGAAATATCTTTAGATGTAGTGTTAATAATATTTTGCGAACATTCTATTGAAATATCTGAAATAACTGAATCAATTGGTTCAGTAATGTTTGGCATTTTTGATTCTTCAATATTCGATTCAGAAGTGGAAGAAACTATATCTGTAATATTTATAGTTCTTTCTATAGGTGCAAATAATTTTTTTGAAAAGGAAATATTTTTTTGTGATAATGTAGATTTTTCTTTTTCATGCATAGAAGTTATATTGTTCTGACTTTGTCCTTTGTTGACACTATCTTTTTTATCAAATATACTTTCCGATACTTTGTTGAAAATTATTGAATCAAAACATGGTGATTTAATATTGTTCATCGAATTTTCTTCTACCTGTAATGATTTAGTCGTAAAAATATTCGCATCTCTCGCAATACAATCTTCAAAATCTAAATCAAGAGTATTAAATTTCTCAATTGATTTCTCATTTGCATTATCTATATAATCATCCAAAACAATAAATGGTTCACTATCTTCATTGAATGTATCGTGATTTTCTATATCAAATTTACATAAAATTTTCTTTTGTTCAGATGGAAAATTATATGTTAGATCATTTTTATTCTTTGTTATATCTGTGTTTTCTGTTTTTGATATTATTATATCGACTTCATCTCTCATATTTAAACTATTGTTATCTATTGTCTTATCTTGAATATTTTGTTTCTCTTTTACTAAATTATTAATCAATGTTATTTCGTTATCTTTCTTCATTTTTTTAGAAAAACTTCTAGCATTATTTCTATAATCCTTTACTGACTCTATAATGGGTGCTCTATCATTAAAACATGTTTTTAATTGATCAGAATCCATTATTACATTTTTTTTATTACTTTCACTCTTCATTTTTGCATTACATAATTGAGATACCTGACAGATATCATTTTCACAGATGGTATCTGCAAAAAAACCCTTAAATGGACTACTCGGACTATCTGGAGATTTTGTTTCATTTTTGATAACTTTATTGTGATTTTCTAAAGTTTTTAATTGAAATATAAGCTTATCTTGATGTTCTTCTTCATCATTTGTTTCTCCATTTATGCCATCGTTTTTAACTATAGCTTCTGAATCCATTTTCATATCCGAAATAGATTCATTATAAGTTTCAATATTTTTTAAAAGTTTTTTAACATTAATTGAATGATCATTTTTCTGAATATCAACATCAATTTGTTCAATTAACGGATGAGATTCTTTGCTAATATGATTCGAAACGAGTATTGTATTTTCCATATGTTTTTCGGTTGATGGAGTATGACTAAAAAAAGTTGAACCTATTGATGACATTTCACTATATGTATCTTTTTCAATGTTTAAGTTTTCAATAGTCAAATATTGAGAAAGATTTAAATTCTCAGATTCAGTCGATATTGTATGTAATTTATTGATTTCAATTGCATGTTTTTCAATCTCTTTAATATTATTTTTTTCTCCTGAACTTATTAAACTTATTAAATTTTGATCATCTTTTGTTTCTATTAGATTTTGATTTATAATCTGCTGATTTTCTGTAATTATTTCTTTATTAATTTGGAAAGTAACATTCTTATTAACATTTATTGATTCTCTGTTATCAGTAGATTGTTGATTTTTTTCTTTTACTATAGAATTAGTATGAATTTGTTCTTGTATAGTTTTAACATCATTTATTCCTTTTATATTTTTTGAACACGTTTCAGTAATTTGTGTAGTACATAAATTTTCATTGATATCATTATTTATTTTCTTAATTTCAATTTGATCATTAGTATGTGAATTTAAGATTAACGATTCTTGATCGTTTTCAGATATCTTTTTATAGGAATATTTCTCTATAGATTTTTCATTTATCGGCGATCTAGATTCATTTGGTTTTGAATCTTTTTTCTTTTTTTCAATAGATTTTTTGGACTTTTCTTTTTTCAATTTCAATTCTTTACTACCTTCTGATCGAATATTCTTAAATTTAAAGAAGTCAATAGTTGAAGATGGTTTTTTTTTGTCTGATTCAAATTTTAATTTTTCTTTTTTTCGAAATTCATCAAATTCTTGAATAGTGATTATTTGTGATGAACATTTATTATCATTTCTGCATTTTTTGTATTTAATAGAATCTTTAAGTATATTTAAATCAGAATTTATTGGACGAATTATATTATTTTCGCTAGGATTCTCTAATTGTACGGGAATTAAAGATTTTTCATTTTTTTGTACAATATCCATTTCATTTAAATTACTAATTTTCTGTTTAATTTCTTTATCAGAATCTTCTAAAGAAGGAGTACTTATTGATCTTATTCTTAACCGTGGATCTTTTAATTCATTTATATCAGTTTCATTTTTTTTCGTTTCTTTCATTACATTTAACAATTCAACATTAGATTGATTAACAGGTAAAACATGATGCGATTCTTGAATGAATGAAATAGAATTTACAGGATTTTCTTTTGATATAGTTTGTTCTTTTAGACGTCTTTGTAATGCGCGTTCTTTATACGCTTTTATATCTATCTTTTTATAACCACTACTTTTATTTTCTGCCGAAGAAATACTTGTACATACTTTTTGATCAACATTTTGATTATTTATATTAAGATTAGTAACAGAATTTAAAGTATTATAATTAAATGACTTAAGTGATGTTATATCTGGTGTATCGTTGCTCTTAACGTGTGATTGAATAGATGAAGGCAATTCCTTATTAACAGATACATGAATTTGATGCAAAGAAAAATTCGTATATGAAACAGTATCTATTCGTTCATTATTGTTTTTTGTTATTTCAGTATCTTTATTCATATCCAAAAGATCTTTTATCTTTTCATTATTTGTTTTATTATTTGTAATTTCAATTGTTTTTTTCATATGCATTTGATCTGTGTTATTAGATTCTGGCATTTGTTTAAGTTGTGCTTTAGTTTTTGGTTGCATTGGGATATCTGTGGATTTATTTTTAGATTGTGATGTTGTATTTGTAACTGCAGATAATTGTTCTTTCTCTATTTGTAAACATTGAGATTCGATTCGTAAATCTATTACTTTATTAATTATAGTATTATTAATCTCACTATTAAATGAAGCATTTTCTTCAGACTTGGTCGGCTCTTGCTTGACAATTACTTCTTTCTTAATTTCATCTTTCATCGTCAATAATCGGGATCTTTCAATTTTTCCGCTGAATTTTGATGAGTCTGAATAGCAACTTCTCTTTTTCTTCTTTCTTTTTTCTCTTCTTCGTTTGTCTTTTTTATCTTTTTTTCTTTTTCCACGCTTACGAGATTTTTTTTCCTTATGTTTACTTTTTTCTTTCCATTTCTTTTCTATTTCAGCAGCTACTTCATCTCTGATTGTTTCATTGAGCGATTTCTTCTTCGCAATTTTTTCTTTTTCTTTAATTACTTTCAACAATTTTGTCACATTAGAAGCAACAGTTTCTTCATCGGTATCACTAGAACTAATCAAACTAGATTCGCCACTTTTCGATTCTTCTATACTTTGCAATTCTTCTATTTCATTAGGTTCGCTAATATATTTGTCTACATTATACGTAGAAATTTCATGAGTTAAAGGACTCAAGTGTCTCATAGATGAATCTGACGAACAATATCGTTGGATGCAATTGTTTTTATCTTTGATTAAATTTTCATCGTTATTAAAGACATTTTTTCGTATAATAGTTGGAGATATTGCAGTATTTGCTATTCCATATTTTGCTTCCCATTCTTCTTTAGTTAAATTCCTAAATGTATCTGGATCTTCTTTTCTATTCCATCTTTCATATCTTTCGGATTTAAATGTATTACAATCTTCAAAATTAGACTTGCGTGTTCTTAAATTATCTAAATTTATTTTATTATTACCAAGCTGTTTAACTCGTGCAATTCCAGCTGAAAAAATGACATCGAGATCAGTTTCTGTTTTATTAGGAATTTGTGAAAAAATATTAGAGTCGAAAGTTTTTGTTACTCTTTGTATTGATAAAGCACTTGTGCATGTTTCAATAAATTTCTCTGATTTGATAGACAAACTTGCATTTGGTAAATTTTTTGTTTTTTCTGTAACTTCAGATAATATATCATCTAAGTCAGCCTCATTAAATAATGGTTGCTTTTTATGTATATTTTCAATTTCGGAATTTATATTGTTCGAGATTGATTTATGCGACAAATTAGTATTTTCTCGTGAAGTATTTAAATTTAATTCTGTGTTCAAGGAATAATGAATAGATTCTTTATTATTATATAAAAAATTATCTTCTATTTTTTCTTCATGTACATTTTGAAAATCTGGTTGAATGAAAGATTGAATTTTTAAATTTTCTTCATTTGCATATTCACATGTATTTATTTTCAAATTTTCATTTTGATTTATAATTTCAATTTCATCATCATCTATATTTTGGCTTTCAATATCAAATGGCATAGGATCAAGTTGTAAAACTTCGCTCAAATGATGAATAAATTCTGTAGGTAAATCTGTAATGCCTACAACAGTACTTGGATCTAACATTGCATTTAACTGATTCATAAATTCTTCTCTATCATATTCTTTCATTTTCTCATCTTCAGTGTTTCTTAATTCTAGAGAAAGAGAAGATCTTCTTTCCTTTACTAGATGTCTCATTACAATATCAAACTTACGAAGGCTTGAATTGTTCACCATATTGCAAATATCGTTTTTACTCATTTTTAGGAAACGACTGATTACTCTATTTTTCCATAAAGATTCTGAGGTAGCAACATTTTGTTCTTTAGATCCTTTTTTTGGATTGATCATTTGATTATTATTTTGAGTAATTATATTATTAAATGTTATCATATTGGACGAATGTGCTTTTTCTATATCTTTGGTATAATTTTTATAATGATAACATGTATCATTTGATTTTTCATGTGTAGAGATATTTGTAAGTGATGCAGAATGTATTGAATTTTTCTTAATTTTGATTTCTTTTTGTTGATTTTTATTTTGATTATTTCTAATTTCATAATGTTTTCTAGGATTATATATATCTTTTTCTTTATTAGAATTTTGAATAGTTTTCTGTTGAGAAATTTCTTTATTATCAGAAATATTTATAGAAATTTTATGCCAGTCTTCTGGTTTATGTATTCTTTTTGTTTTGGAATTTAAATTGAATATTACTTTAGGTCTTATTTGATCATTTGATAATAATATATCTTCAGTTTTTTTATTTTGATTTTGTAAATTTTGTTTTTCGTCTATTATTGTAGTATTTTTTTGTTTTTCAAAAATCAATTCTGGTCCATAAATTACATTTTGCCTACATTTTTTATTTTTATTTTCCATTTTTTTCTGTTTTTTTGTAGTATTTGTATTTGTCTCTTCTATTGATAAAGAATGATATGATGAAGTTTCATTTGGTATTGGAATTTTTGATGTTAATGATAATTCAGAAAATGTTGAAGGTGTATCATTATTTATTTCTTCACTCAAATTCATTATTTGTTTTGCAAATTCCATTGCTTCTTGCATATCTTCTAATCCATCATCCATATTTACATTTTGATTGAGATTAGAATTTTTTTCTATCAAAGGCTCTTTTGGTGGAGGTGGTGGTGGAGGAAGTTCAGTGATATTTATAGGAGGCAGAGGTAATGAGAATTCTCTTATTATTTTCTGTTCATTACCTGTTTGTGATATAATAGACTGAAAATTCACTTGCACATTAGAAATAAACGTTTGATGAGACGAAATGTTTATAGGAGGTGGCTGCGAAAAATTTTGTGTAACAGGATCGATTTTAAAATCTGACACTGGCGATGTTTCAATTAAATTGAATGGTATCATATTTGATCCGGAAATATCTAAGGGAGCAATTAAATTAGAACGTTCTTGAGAAGAAAGTCGTGGATCAAAAATTGGTGGAGGTTGAAGAATTTTTTCTCTTCTATGAATTTTAGGTGGTGGCTGTTGAGGATTGAATTCAGATATTTTTTCATTAATTGTTATTGGAATATTTGAAATTCTAGGTGATCCCCTAGGATCAAAAGCAGATGGTTGTATAACTTTTAAATTACTTTGAGTATTTATTGTTTGATCTCTTAAATTTAAAGAGGGTACAGGCTGTAACCATTCTTCTGATAATTCAATATTTGATTTTGGTCTTATATTTGGAGGAGGTGTATTTGGATTAAAAGTAGGGGGCAAATTATTAGAAGAAAATGACACTATTGCAGTTTGTTGAAATTCATGGCTTGAAATAGGTATATTATGCATAAATGGTGGTGGTGGTGCTCTTGGATCAAATTCAACTGGAATTAAATCAGTTGACTTAAATGATGTAACATGTCTTGGTGAAGATATTTGATTATCATGAAAAGATAATCTTTGCGATCCCTTAAAAAATAAATTTTTCCCATTCTGTTGAAAAGTCCAATGATATTTAGATCCACCAATTCTTGGAGTGAATCTAAGTGGTATATTGAAGATTCTTGATTGAAAAATAGATGAATCATTATAATTTGAACATGTTGTAGATGTAGAATCACAACTAATATTTGAATAAATTTCTCCACTAGAAGATGAAAAATTAGATAATCTATTTTGAGAACAATCAGAAATAGTTTCTAAATTTTTATAACTTATCTCTTGAGATATATTTGTTTGCAAATTATTTTGAATTTGATTATTTTCAAGTAATTTTGTTTCTACATAATCATTATTATGTTGTACATTTATGTTAATGTCTTGTGTAATATTTTCATTTATACTCTGTGTATCTATTTGCACAATATTTTGATTTTGCGAAAAATTTATTTTTAATTCATTATTATTATTTGTAGTTGATACTAGTATTGATTCTATATTATTTACATTTGGAGATTTTTTTGGTAATGAATCATTTACCGATTCTATTGATAGTAAATTTGTTATATTTTTATTTAAATTTGATGATTTCTCATTAATATTATTTGAAGTTATTAAACTTTCTTGAACATTATTATTTTGAAAATGTAAATTTTTTTCATTATATTCAAAATTAGTTAAATCATGATGTATCTGTTTATAACATTTATCATTTTTCAATAAATTATTTTTATCACATATTGAATCCAAAATAATCAAAGATTTTCCTTTATTATTTTCATCTATAATAGTAATTTTATCGTTTGTACTTATAACATTATCTGTTGACTTTTGCTCAAAACTAATTGAAATCTCATTATTAGATTTACTATCTACATTTTCAAATTTTGAATTAATGCAATCAACTCTGCCTATATCTCTAAAATCAGTAAATGTCAAGTCAAGTTCAGGTGGTTCATGACTGAGTTCAGGAATACCTTTATTTCGTATATTTTCTTCTTCAGAGCTATTATTTGGCAAAACAGATAAATCATCTTCCCAAAAATTTGTAAGTTCTTCTTCTGTTATAGAAGATAATTTTTGTTTTAATTTGTCAGCAGTTTCTAAAATCTTTTGTTGACGTTCTTCTTCAGAACCAAGTAAAGGAGTTTGTGATATCAATATAGACTTATCTCCATCTTGTTCTTCTTGAAGTAATGGTGGTCTATGTACAGGATTTCTTATAAAACCCATACAAAATTGTGCAGTTGATGGTCTACCAGGACCAGAAAATCTTAGTATCCCACGACCTGTTGTTCTACCTCTATTATTTGGTCGAAATTGTAAATTACCCCTATATTGTGGATGAGGAAAGAAATTTTTATTCTGTTGCCAAGGTGCAAAATTTGCACGTTCTATCCATTTATCAGGACCAGATAATCTATGTGGTGGTCTTGGATGATTAAAACTCGGATGCGGAAATCTGGGTCCATTAAAGCCACAAGTTGGACCATTTATACGAGCTCCCCGAGGTCCAAAGTTTCTTCCACGATATCCACTGCTATTCATCACACTGTTAATTATGATATTTTAATTATCACAGTGCATTTGAGTTTACAATTTCTTTAACACTCATATGATTTCTAAAATGCACTGAAATTTTTATACAAATTTTTATATATTGAATAATTTATTTAATTAATATTTTTTTTTTTATAAAGAACTTTAAAAAAATCTGTATATAAGAAATAATATACATTTTAATATTTCACAATTATTATCTTAAATCTTTGAAAGATTATAATCTACTATAAATAATAATTCGAAATTATATACGAAATATATAAAAAATATTCTTTTTCGTTTCTTTATCTTTCCTTTCTTTTTAATCTTGTTAACCAATACTAAGTTTTTACGAATATTAGATACAATATATATCACAATTGAGATATACGCATTATTTTTAAATTATTGCAAAAAAAATATATAAATATTTGCGACATTAGTAAAATGACAACAAATCGACATGCGCTTATTATTCAAATATAATCGCCATGTTGCACAATCAATTTCGCCAATCTTAATAAAAGTATATATTTCACTGTCAGATAATTGTAATAAATTAAAATATTTCTGAAAAATTTGAATTTTTTCACGTGATAGTTAATATTCAGATATTATCGCATATCGTGTTTATAATAAATATATTTTAATATAACCCGCTCCGTACTTCTTTCTTTCAATCACATCTTCACTATTCATATTTAAAAACCTAAATTCAGTCACGAACTCACTAACATGTTAGATTAATTGTATACATTTTTAATATAATAGTTATCATAAGTAATATTTTTAATACATGTTACAATTTAAAAAATAAATAATAGAAATAATATAAAATAAATAATATGAATTAATAAAATTTAAATGACAATTGTAAATCAGATATAAGTATTTTTAATATATTTCAACAATATTTATCAATAAATTTCTTCATATTAGTTTCATTATATATTATGACGTCTATTCTTAATTGCAGTAATTCTTTCTTAATTTTTTATATAATATAATATACATAATTAATATTTTTATAATATTACATATATAAATTATATATAATTTTACATTATAAATATATTTAATTCAATCAATTATAATATAAAAAAAATGTTTGTATGATGTTTATATGACTCTTCTTTATTTCTTATTAAATAATGTTCAAATTTTTATGTAAAAAAAAAATGATGTGTTCATTGATAAAAAGATACTAGTTCTAATAAAAAATCACATTGTTACAATATTAAATTTACTATCTATTTATTATTAACTATTATATAACTATTATTATTATTAACTATTTTAAATAGTTAATAAATTTTATATTAATTATTTAAAATATCATAATTGTAATTGATAAATATCATAATTATTTCATAATTTTATATTTTGATAATTTTTATATTTCTTCTAGAATTCAATAGTGCCAAATTTCAGAACGCACATTTATCGTAGCAAACTTGCCCTACTACTAATTGTACTATACTGTATTGCTTCCTTATCATTGCAAGAGTAAAGAACGAACATCTAAGTTATAATTTTCCATATTCGAGGATGGCCGCGATGCTGTCCAACTGTTCGCGGTTTGTGCCTCGTGTAATAACAAGAATTAGTATATCACAAACGAAGGTAATTATGTTCCATTTATTATTAATATTGAAATATTTGTGACACATATTGGGTAAAAAGAATCTAACATCCTTAGAAGTAGAACTTGCCATCAAAGCTGTCGAAATATTATCTTTACTTATTGCATTGATTATATAATACTATCTTAACATGTTACGATTTATGACTTAATCTATCAACTATAATCTGTCAATGAAAAGTTATAAAATTTTTATTATTGTCTGACATAAATCTTTTTTTTAAATAACCAAGTTAATTTTCATTAGTTTCAAACTATAATTGAAAGTTAAAAATTTTTTTTTCTATTTATTCTATCTATTTTCTTTCTATTCAATTATTCCAATACTATTTTTTTACATAGTTTTTTTTTTATATGTACTTTTATTGTAATACATAAAATTTTTATAATATATATATTATATATATAAATATTATAAATATTATAAATATTATAAATATTATAAATATTATAAAT